TCATTTTATTTATCTACTTACCATTCGATGATAATGGATCATTAGCAATTATATTTGCATGATTTTGCAGATGCGCCATATCAAAAGTGAAATCAGCTTCATTTTCATTAGTGTAATCGTAATCAATCAATGGATTATACCTCATCATAGATGCATTTATAAGCGGCATATTACCTCAAAATTTTTTCAAACAAACATTTTCAAATATTAAAAAATTTTAATTACAATTTAATTACATTCAGTCATTTTTTTTCCTGACCCAATGACCATTTTAGCTTATTATTTATTTATAAAATGGACTAATAAGGTCCAGAAGTAATAAATTCCTGTTAATTTGAAATCAAACTTTTAATATATTGGTTTATCAAGCATTGAAAAAAAAAAGAAAAAAAAAAAACAATTCCCGCTTGTTTTCTACACACTACAACACCGCCCTCAGCACTCGGAGAATATATTTTATGGTTTTCATGGATCACCGAAGATCATCGATTGCAAATTACTAAATTATATAATTATTATACAGTATAATGTTATAATATATTTTGTTTTTCATTGTATATATTTTGAATTACTGTATTATTTTGTATCATTATAATAATCATCATATTATCATCATGTTATCAATTATTTACCTTGTATTGGAATACGTCGATCACGTAATTGATTACAAAAATTTTGCGAACATATACAATGCATTCCTTTTCCATCTTGTTCCATCCAACATTTTGCATCATTAATTTTGTTTTGTTTATGATAATGACTGGGAAGATTTAGTAAACAAAATGCTGTTGTTAGCAACATATCTTTGCCTTCATCTAATTAAAAAATTTTGAAATTAAAAAAAGAAAATGAAATTTTTTTTTTAAATAAAAATTTCTTCCAATCAAAATTGAAAAAAATTTCCTTTCCATCAAAAGAAATGTTGTTTCAAAATTATGCGAAAAAATAAATAAAAAAATCTGATTTTAAATTAGCTAACTAAATTAGCACAATAGTTGAAAAACTATTTTATTACTAATCAAATTTA